CCGGATGAACTGTATATATCCGCTACGGAAGATAGTATTCATTGTAAAGGGCGAATAATGAACGTGCCTATACGGGTGGGGCGGGTGCATTGTTTGTGTGACGTGATCGTGCTGGATGTACAGGCGTATGATGTTCTGCTAGGCATCCCGTGGCAGGCGGTGGTCGGAGCGCGAATGCACTTTGACAGCTGTAAGGTGGTGCTCACATCGGCCCACCCCAAACCCCAAACGATACAATGAGACTTGCGGTGCGCATGCGCACCCAGCCAGCGCCTCGCCTCACCACGAAAGCCCATCAAATCAACATGATCCGACGACTGTCACCAAACGAAAATGAGCCCTCGACGGAAACTGACAAGACTGATATACCCGACCGATATCCGATCCGAGTTCAGGATTGGTGGCGCCATTCTTGGCCCATTCTTGGCGGCGAGAACCACTGGAAATAGTTCGGAGCAAGTCCAATTGGTCGCACGCGTTCTCCTCCGTGGTGCAGGGGGAACCCGTGCTGAGGGTGTCCCAAATAGCTGACCTTTCGGAACCCCCTGCGTCCTTGTATCTCAGGACGGACCCCCTACCTGAAAGATTTACCGAGCTGAGGGGGCTGTGCGATTTATCTTTTCGACCTCCACGGCCCCAACTCATGAATGAAAAAGCCGCGATACTCCTGAAAGAGGGGGTGTCGTTTCAACCCCGAATGAGGGAGTATCGGTGGGGACCGAGGGAACTGGCGCAGGCCTTTTCGGTCGAACCCTCGGCCGAACCCGAACCGGACAGTGACAGTGACATGGAAAGCGAGCCGATGAGTCCGGCGGACAACCAACTTATTGCGACTGTCCTTTCGGCGAAAACCGACAACACTTTGTTTGGGGCCTCGCCCGATGCCAACGTGGCGGTCCCCACGGCTACGACGAAGGTCTCCTTTCCTGGGGGAACCATAGAAGTTCAGTTACCAGCCCGTGTTCCGGACGAATACAAACGCCTCCTCTTGGCGGTTATACGGACCTATCCTGAGGCCGTCAGTATTGAGGACCACGACATAGGGCTAACCCCTTTGACACAACACGCGATTGACACCGGGGATCACGCCCTAATACATTGCCGACCGTACCGATATTCCCTTAAAGAAAGACAACTGGCGTTGGAAAGGGTACGGGAATTCGAGCGGTTGGGGTGGGTCGAACCATCGCTGGGACCATGGTCTTTTCCCGTGGTCCTCGTGCCAAAACGGAATGGCTCGGTTCGGGGTATGTATCGACTTCCGAAAATTGAACGCCATCACTACCAAAGATGTGTATCCCTTGCCGTGAATCGATGATTTGTTAGATGCTATCGGGGTCGCTCGAGTCTTTTCCAAGTTCGATATCCGACACGGTTTTCACCACGTCGCAGTCGGACCGGAGGACCGACCCAAAACCGCCTTTGTCCTATTTGAGGGCACGTGGCAATGGGTCCGGTGTCCTATGGGAATTTGTAACGCCCCTGGCCTTCGCTGAGTTCGTTAACAAAACCCGACTGACCCAGCCCCTGATCAATTTCTGCGTGATTGTGTACATGGATGATATTTTGGTCTTTTCAAAAACACACGAGTACCACGTGAAACACATTGAGTGGGTTTTGCATGCACTGAAAGATGCGGGGTTCAAAGTGGCCTTGGAGAAAAGTGAGTTCTTCTTGTCAGAGATCTCATTCTTGGGGTATATCGTCACGGTCGACGGACTAAAACCGGATCCGAGGAAGGTGGCAGCAGTTCAAGACGCCCCGACGCCGGTCACACTCACCCAGGTTCGGGCTTTTCTAGGGCTGGCATCCTATTACCGACGCTTCATCAAGGGCTTCGTCGGCATAGCGAAGCCCCTCACGAACCTGCTGAAGAAAGAGGAACAACTGATCTGGACGCCGGAATGCGAAGCGGCGTTTCAGGCGTTGAAGGAGGCTCTGACATCTGCTCCTGTGTTGSCGCGCCCCGACCCGACAAGACCGTTCGCACTGTACACAGATTGATAGCCTCAGGCGATATCGGCGGTGCTGACTCAGCACAGCAAGGATGGAAGGGAGCACGTCATTGAGTATGCGTCCAAGACGCTGAGCCAGGCGCAGGCTAATTACGAAGCRTGCAAAGGTGAATGCCTGGCAGTGGTGTGGGGGATTCAGCATTTCCGACCGTATCTGTACGACCAGAAATTCGTGCTGGTTACGGATCATCAGCCGCTGCTGTCCCTACGCAACAACACGGACTACACGGGGACGCTGGGCAGGTGGGCGGTGCGTCTACAAGACTATGACTTCGACATCCGCCACCGTGCCACGCGGCAACATGGTAACGCCGATGGATTAACGCGCCTTCTGCCACCCAACAAGTGTCCCGCCAACGAGCGACTCATTCCGTGGAGGCCAGAAGTCGCGGCGACGAAACCGCACTGCGGGGAGCTACACGTGCTGCGTAAGGACGACGCCTGAGTCCGGAATGGAGGTTTCGTTGGAGATGGCCGACGCTATCTCTCTGCCCTCATCCCACTCCCTCGCTCTCTCGTCCAGCCCCAACTTGTCCTCTGAAACACACCTAAGTCCCTGTTTCTTCTGTACCTTGCCTATGATCCCGGACCAAGAAGGGTCACATCCGGGAGGGCCCAATTTTCTTTTATGGGTACAGTGTAGTCAGTGTCATACGGTCAAATCTCACGGACAGTGCGTTAGGTACCGAAGTGAAAAGACGTGGGTCTGTCCCAACTGTAGAACGGACCAAGTCCCTACCGAGAGGCGGTATCTGGACGCTAGAACCGCCGACGGATTTGCGCCAAGTGCCCGCCGGGGAGAAGCCTGGACGGACCTTCTGTTGCTACGGAGACTGTCAGGCGACTCGTTGTCAGAACTTACCAAAGCCGAACGGCGGAGAGTCACGGAGCGGGCGCAGGACTATCGCTGGCAGGGCCCGACGTTACAAAAAGGGAAGGTCGATGACGACGGAGAGTCTAGCTGGTTGACAGTTCCACACCCTCTTGCTAGGTTCGATTGGACACGAGCGCTCATGAGGAGGATGCGGTCCATTTTGCGGTCAAGTACACGGAAAAAGCCATCGAAAAGAATGGATGGTACTGGTCGGGAATTCGGGAAGATGTGAAATACATCGTTCAGAATTGCCCGGCCTGTGCGGCGGACAAGGCGCCGGAACAGATGCTTTGGACGATGGTGCCCACTCATGTAGAGTGCCCCTTTCAGAGGGTTCGCATCGATACGAAGGATATCAACGTTCCGAGAGGGCTCGTCGATCAGGGAGAACTCAATGTTCTTTTAGTGGTCGTCGATCATTTTTGAAAATGGATCGAGGCGTACCCTATGACCAACTGGAATTCGCAGGAAGTAGCCTGGTACGTAAATCGATTTTTGTGCATGCATCTAGACGTAGAAGAGGTACACATGGACAATGGGTCGGAATTTCAAGGCGAAGTAGAACGTCACCTAGTCAGGGCGGACGTTAAGATTATCTACTCGCCGGGGCATTGGCCTCAAGCCAATGGCCTGGTAGAGAATGCCAACCTACTGATTAAGACGACCCTTAGACGGAATATCACTTCGGGAGATACCCGACCCTGGCCGGTCATTGTCGATCACATTTTGGCCGTTTGTCGGGCTACCGCACACGGTAGTACTGGGGTGTCCCCCTTTCAGCTGAGAACCAATAGTGTCCCTCGGGTGCAATTGTCCCCCTTAGTAGGTACGGAAGTTAGAGCAACACGGGCCCAGAATCGAGACAAGGCCCACCACTACATGGACTTAATGGCTAGGGCCTATCCCCCGTTAGCTCGCCGTCGACAGCAGGCCGTAGATCGGACACATCAAGGGCAGATCCATGACTACGAGAATCGACACGCGTCGGCGGGACCACTGCCCCGCTATAAAGTTGGGGACTTGGTGCAGGTACGGAAATCTGCGCGTTCCTCCAAGATCCACCCGCGCTACACAGGCATTTACGAGGTCACGGAAGTTGGGGGCCTGACCGCTGACACGGCACGCTGCCGCGCTCCGGCCCTTTCAGCCATCGCTAGGTCCCCTACGGACCCCCGCTCCTGCGAGATCACCCTCTCCTTCTTCATCCTCCTCCTCTTCCCGATCTGCCTCGTCCATTGGTGCTGAGAGTTTCAGGGAGCAGGATGAACCATCGCCAGCCAGAGCATGAGCCCCTCGAGCACTTCCAGACGCCGCTTGCAGATCGCTTGTTGCGGCATCGGTTTAATGAGGAGAGGCAGTTGCGGTACGACATCCAACAGGTGAATGTGCCAGCGCCCGGGGTTGCTGATTTGGCAGCGTACTCGTTGCTTTGCGATCGGCTGACGTATGCGGGAGTGTACGTGGACGTGACGCAGTTGCCTGGCCGGGAGACGACTCGAGTATTCATTGAGTTCCGTGCGCTCCAGGTGGCACCCAACTTCGTGCACAGCGTTGCCACCTTCATCGAAGACTTGATGGTCCTACCACAGCAGAATCGGGAGCCGGCGCGCAGCTTTGTGCGCGAATACGCGGTGGAAGCGGCCAGATCAGTGGCCAGAGTGCAAGGACGGGGGGGACACTGATTCACAGCCCACGAAGTGCTGCTGCGTAGGGCAGAGGACGAACCGATTGCGTTGGTGCCGCAGCTCCCCGCGCTTTTCCCTCCCGCTGCTCCTCTCAACTTCCAAGCTATTCCCCCTGTCCCGTACTAAATGCCTCCTTTCTTCTCCTACACCACCCTCCCCTACCACCTCACGGAGGGCCCTTACCCCATGCGTGAGTTCTCGAAGTATTTGGTGGAGCTAACTGACGTGGAGCCGCTGCCCTTCGCCAACGAAGACGCGTGGGAGTTGCACCGTGCGCTGTACAAGTCGGTGGCGTTGGGGATGTTCCGGTTCTTCGTGGATCACGAAGACCACGCTATCGGGGAGCACTTCGTCGTTTACTACGTCATCGCGCAGCCCAAGCCAGCGGAGAAGGAAGGGACGGTGGCGCTGTACCCCTTCGCCCCGCTCCAGACAATCGATCCGGGATTGTTGGAGCTCATACATCTTGAGCTCCTCTCCATCGCGCAAGTGATCGCAAGCGAGGAGGAGGAGATCCAACCACGATTACGGACGGCGACGGCCCCGCGGAGAACGTACAACGAGGTCGTCATCCCGGATTACATTGCGCAACGCGCGGAGAGATTAGAGGACTTCCCGGAGGAAAGGCCGTTGCGTCCTCCCTCGTCGTATCCTCGACCAGCGCCACCGAAGGCCCCCAAGAAGACGCCAAAGAGGAAGAGACGCCACCCGTCGCCAGGAGCGCAAGGCAGCAGGATCGGTGGCGGCGAGGAGGTGATTCAGCCCGCGCGTACGCGGATTCCTGACCCTATGCCTGGGAGTGCGGCGACGCTCGTTAAGGAGACTATCGTGCCATCGCCGCCCATTCCGCGTGTGCCCGATCTCAATCTTGATGGAGCCGGTCCATCATCATCAGCAGCAGCCGGAGGAGGAAGCCGAATGGGATTTCCGGATCCCATATCCGGACCCCTCGTCCTCACGGGACCTCTCCGTTCCCGCCAGCCACCCCGGGGTGCCCCGGTCATTGACATTAGTAGTTCATCCGAGCCGGACGGTCCATCCGACCGAGGTGGACTTCATGGTGGAGCTCGCCACCATCAGGCTCGAGGCCATCACGGGGGCGCCGCGCCTTGATCCGGCGTGGGAGCCATATCTGACACCCCCTTTTCAAGGGTGTATTGCGGCGCGATTGGCTGGGACGCTCATCTACGAGAACGGGCAGCGTCCAAACGCGTTGTACCACTTCCTGGTCTTCGCGGCGCAGAAGCGGGAGCGGCGGCCTTACACCGAGACTGATGTGGTGATGACGGGTCCAAGGCCCCGATCGGTGCGCAAGCGGGTGGTGCGAGCGGTAGCGGATCTGGCGCCCCGTGTCCTCTCACATGTGCCGGGGGCTTTCCTTTACCCCTCATTCGTCCAGCATCACTTCCATGAGGGAGATGCGCCGACGACTCCTGCGGCAATGGCCTCTTTTCCTCCACCTATTCCGCCCCCTCTCAATCCTGACATAGATCACTTCCTCTGATCACCCTCGTCTACCTCTCCCCTGTCCTCTCCCTCTCCTTCTCTTCTTTTTCTTCTTCCTTTTCGGATCTAAAGCTTGCGCGACTATACACGCTGTATACAAAAAAAAAAAATAAAAAAAAAAAAAAAAAAAAAAAAATAAAAAAAAAAA